AACAGAACGCGCAAACTTAACCATGCCGCCAGGCCAGCCCCAGAATCCTAAGTTTTTGAAGTCTGTTTTTTCAGTCGACTTTGTTATACACAATCTTTTGGGCCCAAAAATTATATGAATAGCCTTAGAAAAATTTAAAGAACACCAAATATGTAAGATTTTTTAACGTTTTACTAAATTCTTCTTGATTTGTAATGGATTTTAATATGGTTATAAGATTTTAAAATATGATCCTTGCTTTATGATTTATCTGGGGGTTCAATTGACTGAGTTTGAGTAAATTATTCACCACTTCATTAAAATTCAGTACTCCTGAAGGTTTCCATCTGATGCATTAGCTGTCTATTGCAAAAGAATTGCTGTGTACTTGGTACAGAGGATGGTTTTCCCAGTTGGCCTGCCCTGAAAGTGTAGAGAATACAAATGAGATGTAATTTTACATTTTACTTTCCACTAACAAAGATTATTTATGCAAACATCAGGAGAAGAAACTGGCTTTCAGTAAGGATCTACATGTTGGTAATTTTTAATCTCTTAGTGGGAACCTATTGGTATAAAAATGCATTACTGCAGAGAGAGATCCTAGAGTCATAATGATTAATCTCCATTGCTTGGAGGTAACATTTTAGTAAATGGAGATTTAGTTAACGTTCTAATAAAATGAGCTGTTGTCATTTGAGAATAAAAATTATATCCTAATATATTTTAAAACTAGAAATTTGTTTACTCTTTTCCCTACTAGAACTGAAATCATGTAATTTATTGGAACAGATGGTACAGAAGAGGTGGTGTGTTACACTTTTAGTAAAGATAATATATAAAAATATTACCAAAAAATAATAAAATCATGGACTTAACAGCTTTTACCCAGTCCAACTGATTCAGCTAATCTTAGGTTTCCTCTACAAAATTCCTGGCCAAGTTAAACCAATCCCTTGCAGTCTCCTCGAGCACTGTTGTCTCCGGGTACTTTGAGTCACAGGCTCATAACCAAATTTGTGAATCGCTTTCCAGTTGCCTTTGTTATGGTTAAATAAAATTCCATTTTCAGATTCTATTTCCAGATATCTCTGACCATTAGAACATCCTTCCTTAATGCCTAGCTTAAATTGAAGCTCTGATTGGCCCCTGGCTTCTCTGATGTGGGCTGCTTTACTCACAAAGTCTCATTCCTCTGTCACATTTTTTCCTCAAATGTAAACATTCGAGTTTCTCCTGCTTCCTTTTGTTGTGTAAACATTATTCGGCATACTTTCCCCATCCTGCCTGTTATTCTCTGCACACTCTCCCTTGCACCTTTCTCTCTTTAACCATGCCCAGAATTAGCCATGGTATTTCAGGCGCAGCTGGGTGTGCAGGACCAAATGGATCCAGGAGCTGATGCTTAGAACAGTGGTTCTTAACCCTTTTGAGAGTCTAAGCTCTGGAATCTCTCCACAGAAAAATGCTCATGTGTGTAGATGTACAAGTTACATACAATTTCATCGGATTCGTTGAACTCCCATAGCTCCTTCAGAACCCCTGTGCCTTCTGGCCTCGTGGATTAACCACACTGACTGTTGTGTTGGGGCTGTGCATGGGAATTACTGGGCAAGCTTTTTAATGACCACATATACCTGGGCCCTACCCCGGGAGTTGGTATAAAGTAGAGAATTTGGGGATCTGACTGAAGGGTTCTCGGAGTTGTTTATTTTTAAGCAGGATATATTTTAGAAATCAGATTTTGAAACCGGTTTTCAATTATAATCGCATATGTGAGGTTTTTTTCAGAATCCGATTTCACAAAAAAATGCATTTAGTTGGCTTTTTCCTGAACTGACTTGTTCAGACATGTCCTTTCAGGATGAAGTGCTCCTGAGATTTTAAAAACAGTCCGCTGAGCCTCGCACCCAGCTGAGTTCTCTTCTGCTGGCATTCGGATGACGAGTCTGTTGACTGGCTTGATTTAGGAATGACTCAAACCTAGTGGAAAGTAAAACAGACATATGTTTTGACCTCTGGCCCCACTGTATTTTTTTAATGTTTGTTTTGTGGAATTTATGGCATCTTGGAAACTATGGAAATGACAAGGGTAAAAAAAAAGTTCTGGTTTCTGAATGTGTCATTTAACCAGATAATCGAGCAAAATATTTTAAAAGAAGCACTCAATCTTGTGACTTGGTGTGCTTTAATCTTCATTTTTCTTCCTCGTTTTTGAGGTCTACATCTTCAGTGAGTCTACTCCATCCTGGCACGGTCCCCTTGTCAGCCTGGTCCTAGTCCCACATCGTTGTCAGTCATCCCTTTTGAACATCCCGGCAGTAGTTTGGTTTGGACGCAAGTGTAGACTAGCGTTTGGATACTAAGAAGATCCTTGTTGGGGGGGGAGCGGAGGAGGGGCATAGATCAGCGTGGAGAAGTAGGTGTCCTATGAAGAGGTTTCCCTGTGGTCTAAGACAGTGGGGCGTTAGCTGCTTAACACACAGAACTTCTGTTTCCACCTGACAGTGAATTCAAAACCAGACTCGGATGTATTGGAAAGAGCTGATAAGGTTTTATACAGAGCGGTGGACTTGCTAAATGCACGGCATCCACTGTTGAATTTGACTGCAGTAACAATTATGATAGAGCCTTTCAACATCAGACGTAAAGTCTGGCTCTTCTCCTAGGTCTGAGGGGAAGAGGGGGGGACAGCAGACATGTTGTTTAAAAATGTGTTTTCTGCTCCTCGCTTCCTCTTCACCTCAGTTACCTCCTTCTCCTTGCAGGTTATGGCCACACAGTGCCCCTGTCAGACGGGGGTAAGGCCTTCTGCATCATCTACTCGGTCATCGGCATTCCTTTCACCCTCCTCTTCCTGACGGCAGTGGTCCAGCGTGTCACCATCCACGTCACCCGAAGGCCTGTCCTCTACTTCCACGTCCGCTGGGGCTTCTCCAAGCAGATGGTTGCCATCGTTCACGCCGTTCTCCTTGGGTTTATCACCGTTTCCTGCTTCTTCTTCATCCCAGCAGCCGTGTTCTCCATTCTGGAGGATGACTGGAACTTTCTTGAATCCTTTTATTTTTGTTTTATTTCCCTGAGCACCATTGGCCTAGGGGATTATGTTCCTGGAGAAGGCTACAATCAGAAATTCAGAGAGCTCTATAAGATTGGGATCACGTGTGAGTATCGAGGTTCACTCTGCTCCCTTGGCCTCTGTGTTGCCATTCCAAGTTCCACCTCGCTTGCTAATGAATAGTCATTTGTAAAAGCCCTGATTGCTGTTTCATTGATAAGTTTTCAGTTTTGCCACCTTCCCATAACTATCTCACTTCATCACGATTCCCTTTGAAACTCTCTATGCAAAAATCTTATTACTGAAAGTTGGTTTTTGCTGGCACCTTAAGACTACTGTTCAATTTCCTACTAATAATGTAATAGGCATTATTAATTACAGTGTAAAAATGCTCGACACAGAATATACTTGATAACCAAACTTTAGTAAAACAAAAATTGAGAGAAAAATTCAAGAACTCAAAAAAAAAAAAAAAAAAGTTGCTCTACTTTATTAAATATTTTAAGCTCCAGAAAATTAGGGCTAGGATGTAGCCTGTTACTATCAATCATGTTCTTTCATGTTCTTTAATTTACCAGGAAAATCTTAAAACAGATGCTTATCTCATTTGTCCATCTGGTTCTTTCTCAGCGAAGTTAGAACATGTTAACCATTTTCAGAATTTTATATGTGGAAAATCGGCATTAAAATTCAGATAGCCAGTGATTTATAATTTTAAAACAATTTTTAAAAATTTAATATGCTATCATGGAAAACTTAGTAATCCATTTTCAAGAAACCATTTATTTTTGTGTGCCCCTTTCCTCTTTTCAAAATGCATAGAATGCATCATAATGTCCATACAGTTTTCATTTCTGTCTTTTCAAGAATTTTTCAAGACTCAGGTCATGTCTAGGAAATCATAGTATATACTCAAGCACTCAGATACTCTGTCCTGGCTCTGTTTTGTAGTCTTAACCTGAAAATGATCAGTTGAACTATGTGTATGTTAACATTTCTGTTAAACCATGGGCTCCCCCAGGACAAAGACTTCACTCATAAGCCCCCAATGCTTTGAACAGTGCCTGACTACCATACAAGTTCAATAAATAATTACTAAATGGTCACAAGGATCGTTTCATATTTCTTCTGGTTACCATAATTATTTTTAATGTCCACGTAATATTTCACCAGGTGGCTGTACCATAATCTAACCATGCTTCTGTTGTCAAATATTTAGATTGCTTCCAATTTGGGGGCATTATAAATCACACTGCTGTAAATATTTTTGAATATTTATACTTTTTCTACTTTGATATCTTTCCAAGTGGGATTGCTGGCCCAAAGTGAATATGGCTTTCTGTGACTCACAGAACATATTGACCCATTGCTTTCCAAATGGCAGGACGAGTTTACACCATCACCAGAATTATCTGAGTATAACAGTTTCTGCACTCACGGGGTGGTGTGGGCCGGTGGCATTATAGGTGTTTTTTTGCGAATTTGATAGCGCAGATAAACATTATCTGAACTTTCTTTTCATGTGTTAGGTAAAATGTTACCTTCTTATTTTAATTTAATTTTATCATGACTTATGGAAGTTGAATATGTTTCTGTAATTGTCTTTGCTAGCTCTGCTTTTCTCTTGTGTTAATTGTCTTCTCATAAATTTTGCCCAATAGTTTAACTTCCTCAATTTTTCATATAATACTAAATCCTTGTAGAACATTTTTAACACTTCTTACAACGTGAATCATGGTTTTTTAAGGCAATCTACATAGTGTATGTGCAAATAAATGTTCCAAAGCTATGTTTGTGGATAGGATAAAATCCCAAAGCTTTTGCCTGAAACCCCATGGGTGTTTTTGTTAGCGCTCAGGAGTTTGACCAAATAATGAGTAAAGGAAAAGGAAAGGATTTGCCAATTAATCTAACAACGTCATTGCTGTTTCTAAAATATACTATATTATTATCAAAACCTAACAGCTAAATTCTAAAGATACTAGAACTGTGTCACTTTGCATTCTTGAGGTAATCAGACTTTTTATTGCTATTATGCTGCCAATTCTAGCTTTCCTAGTTCATTTATTTTCTGAAAATCTTCCTCAAACATTTTTCCACTGGGACATGAAATTGGGATTTTTGTTATTCTTTTTTTTGTTTTTGTTTTTTTGTAGGAAGATTGGCCCTGCACTAACATCTGTTGCCAATCTCCCTCTTTTTCTTTCTTCTCCCCAAAGCCCCAGTACATAGTTGAGTATCATAGTCGTAGAGTTGTAGCTCTTCTATGTGGGATGCCGCCTCAGCTTGGCTTGATGAGTGGTGAATAGGTCCACATCTAGGATCTGAACCGGCGAACCCCAGGCTGCCGAACTGGAATGCACAAACTTAACCGCTACGCCACCAAGCCTACCCTGGGATTTTTGTTATTCTTAAGAGTTTTCATTTTCGTTTCTTCTTCCTTTCCATGATGATTTTTTTTCTGGAAACTGATTTTAAACATGTTGGAACTGTTTAAATTACCATTTTCCCATCACAGATTCCAAGGAATAGCACTTTAACCTGAAGCAACAGGTTATCTTTTGTTTTGGAGTGAGAAGAATGAATAGTCCATGAGCCATAAAAAATGACTGTCACGTAGTGGAAAGCTTAGTTTGTTGCTGGATCTCAGTGGGAGTATAAAAAACCACACACAGCCCTTTTTAATATCTATATCAATTCTTTTTTTTTTTTTCCCTCTACATCAGTTCTTAAAGGAATTTTTGTCTAGCTTAAACTGTAATTTCTATTGCTAAGCTTCTTATTCTTTAGGGAATTAATAATAGAAGTATTGAGTGCTTAAAAAGGTGTCAAGCTTTGTCCTGAGCACTCATGATAAATGAAAAACTCTTCTAAAATGTCACTGGCTTTTTGAGAGCCACTGATGATAAAGTGGGGCTGGACAGCCCTCTCCTCAAAGGTCCACCTTGGGTGAGTACAGTCTGTTATGTCTCTTTAACGATGCCACATCAGCCTCAACTATTATTTTTTTTCTCAAAAATCGCACCTTATGATTCTGAATAATCCAAGTTCTTAGAAGGTTCATGCTTCATTTTTCTCTGGGTAGTCCTGCTTTGACCCATGGAATTTAAAATGTTCCTAGAACTTAGGAAAGTGGCAGTGAATTTATTCATTGACAGACTTTCTGTGTCGTTACTTGATTTATCTGTGACTAGATCCCACTGAGACACTGTCATTTTTCTCACATAGGTTACCTGCTGCTTGGTCTTATTGCCATGTTGGTAGTTCTGGAAACCTTCTGTGAACTCCACGAGCTGAAAAAATTCAGAAAAATGTTCTATGTGAAGAAGGACAAGGATGAGGATCAAGTGCACATCATCGAGCATGACCAGCTGTCCTTCTCCTCCATCACAGACCAAGCAGCCAGCATGAAAGAGGACCAGAAGCAGAATGAGCCTTTTGTGGCCACTCAGGCATCTGCCTACTCCGATGGCTCCGTAGACCATTAAGCTTAGGGCTTTGCTGCATTGTCTTAGAGCACCAGGGTCGGGGCAGTGACAAAGAGGCTCCATTTTGTTCATTTTTACAAGATTGTAAAAGCCAAGATGCTATTTTAACAAATACTTACTTTTTGCAATATTTAAAAGAAAAACAGAACAAACAAAAAAATGGAACAAAGGAAGCTTTTACTGTGGAGAACTGTTTAATATCTGAGGAAATGGGACATGTACCTGTAATTCGTATGCAACAAAATTGTCTAGACTTGACTAATAGGTGAAGAATACTTGAAGCAGTGTGCTGCTGTGGATAGAAGCAGATTTTATACTTTTAATTGGGAACTTTGGGATTTGCATTTCAATTTAGCTGATGACTAACTAGCAACATTTATATTTAAAAGCAAAAAAAAAAAGCATAGAGATGTGTTTTATAAATAAGTTTATGTGTACTGGTTTGCATGTGCCCTTCCAAAATCATTATTTTTGTAGAGTCTAAGTTAAACCTACTATTTATAATTAATAGGTAACCATTGACTATGTACAGATAAAGTATAAATATGTTTATATCTTGTACATATGGTTTAGGTCACCAGATCCCAGTATACTTCTTAACCCAAGATTGTAGATATTTTTTCTTCTGATTTCTCTTTATACTAAAGAATCAAGAGTTGCTGCAATAAAATAAGAGGAATAGTACACTTACGAGTAAATTACTATAGCATTCTGTTACAGTAAATGTTTCTACCCTCTTGTAATAGTATGATCGCAGATGTCTAAAATGTTTGTAAGCATTTCTCTGGAGGTGAACAAGTAATGAAAAATATGATTTGTAAAAAAAGGTTAAGATATTTTGTTTTGAAAGTTCATTGTGATCTGTAGTCACCTACTAACTAAAGCACACAATGTGAATTTAGATGCCCCAAATGAACAGATTCTGTCAAATTAATCTGAGACTTTTTTAATTTATAAGCTGAAATAAATAAAAATCATAGCTGGTTGCAATCTTATGCTTTAACATATCAAGAAAAGTTTTCTTCCATGTAGAAAATATGTATGCACTCCTTTATAGAAACCGTAAAGGCAACATTTCAATGATGTACACAGGACACTATTAAGAATTTTAGAAGAGAAAATTAGAAAGACCCTGCCTGATAACTAACACTCACTGACCTGCTAACTGAGTCTCATCCCCCTTCTGAGGGAGCTGCCCAGAAGGTGGTGTTTGAGGTGCTGGTAAAAATCAGCGCCCTGCTGGTGGGCCAGCTGAACAGAACATCCTCACCTTGCAGAGCTCACTCAGAAACCTCTCAACCATCTACAGTATGTGCTGCCCTAAGCACACCCTTACCAGCCCTGTCCTGTTCACTGCGTGTTAGCCTTCAGACGTTGTATCTCCTGACTTACAGCAGGGCCCTTCTTTATTGTATAAAATCCCATCTTGTCACAGAGCAGCAAAACTACAAGAAGGAATTACCTCTGTTCCACAGCCCCCGTGCCACTGCATAGCTCCGGGGATGGTGAACTGTCATCAGCAGATCCTCTCCAACATTTAATTCCAAACGTGTGGTTCTGTTCCTCTGAATCTGGGTTATGCTGCCCCATCAGCATATTTCTGTCTGTATCCTGTGCGGACACTGGCTCCACGGTGGAAGACTGCTCTCTCGCAGGGTAGGTAATTGGTTAAGGAATGGAATAGAGACTCCTTAGAGAATAGGGACATGCATCGTGGACACCACTGGGTCTGGGAAGTTCACCGTGATCCTAATGCTTGGTATGGTGCAGAGGTGCTAAAGAGAGTAAGTCACAGAAACGGTGGATTCCACCTGGGGAGTGTCATTATATTTTATTCAATGCAGGAAAAAAATGACAGGTGTGCCACCACTGCTTGACTCTTATAGGAGAGGGGAGTGCAAAAGACGGAAAATGAGGGAGTATAAACGGAAAATTCTGAATCAGGATGTCATTAGTAAGTAATAGAGTGAGATACTTAATTTTCAAAGCTTTCATGAATCTGCAGACTACACTAAACCTTAATGCCCTTCAAATTGTTTTTGTTGTTTTTAACATGAAGGATGAGGTACAAGAATAGGAGCAGGTTTTGCCTCCTGCAGCCTGTGAGATACTAAATGTAAGGGGGAGTATCTTCCCGGAACTTGTTTTTTTGTCGTCGGCTGATGGACAGAAGCTGCCCTGCAGTCCTGAGGGAGGGGAGAGCTGTGTCGGACAGAGGACAGAGGCAGTGTCCAAGGGGGCGTGGACAGGAGGTAGGAGGCAGGGCAGTGCAGCAGTGCGAGAACTGACGTTGAAACCCTCTACTTGGAGGTGAGAGTGCAAAGTTGGAGGGGAAAGTGAATGCTGGAGAAGAGGATTTTAGTGACGAGTATAAACTGCAGGATTCAACTCGCTCAGGCAGGAGTGTTCTAGATTGAGTTCTTAAGAATCCTACGGAATGCCCCCAGGGTAGACAAGCAGCAGAAATCGTGGTCCTTCAAAGAGAGTACTACCATGTGTGAATTTCAAGTCCATATGTCCAGCAGGTATGTTGATTTGGGAGCAGCAGACGGACTCAACGTGAGGAGAGAACAGAGTATCTCAGAGGAAGCGTTCTCATTCCCCCGGAAGTCAAAGGGACTGTAGACGAAGGGATAGAAGCAGTCTCCAAAAGAACCTCACAGGCGAAGTCCACAGGACAAAGTTTGGCCCAAATGACTCCATTTAAGAGACTGGTCTCTACGGTAATCATGCCCCCAAGAGATTTAAAAAGGGATTTATTCCAAAGTTGAAGAGGATGATGAGTGGGAGAAAAAAAGGTATCATTTTCTGAACAGATAAATATGATGTGACTTAAGGAAAAAACGGGAATGATTAGATTACTAAGACATGGGGTTACTTTTTCTTGCCTGGGAAACAGTCATGCTCATACTTTCCACAAACCAGTCTATGTGCCTTTTGGAAAATGAACGAGGAGATGTTTACAAAACTGGAGATGTCAAGATAACTGAAATAGTCAATGCTAAACCATTTTAACCCTTTAAACTTATCAGTAGTACACTGGCTTCTTACTAAAAGCAGCTAATATTTGCTTCAAACAAGAGTTCATTTTAAATTGGCACAAGTACGCATCAGAAGGTGATTGCAGGATTATCTCTTATTCCGAACTCAGCAGCGTTTAGGACCTGTAAAGTTTTGCCCATAGTGATGTATTATTTTCCAAAAGTTTTACTTTATGAAAATTTGGTACACCCAGCCTTTTGTGTGAGGCGAAACATGAAATTGTTTGCTGAAGACAATTTCCAAACCCCTCACTTACCTAATATGTGCTGTCAGGCAACCTCAGCTTTCTAAAGTACAACCAGGAACCCAGAAGTAAATAAGTACTCGAGTATTTTTCACAGCCTGGCAGTAAAGCACATTTAGTAAGAAGGACGCCCTCTCTTTGCTCCACTCAGAGCTTACACTTTGCACACAGTTCAAATAAAATTACTGCTCTGGTTTCCCAACCCACAGAAAATAGAGTGTTGCTACCCAATAGTTCTCAAATTTTGAGTTAGCACACTTTTTCATGTAATTTCGGATGGCACAAGTAAAAAAATATTAAAGGTCTCAACATGCAAGTTGGCAATAATTACCTTGCAATCGCTTAGGCAGCCTTAAATAGTCTCTCTGCTGTGCCACTCAGCATCTGAGAAGAAGAGTTTACTACCTGACCACTCTTTTGTATTCTTAGAAGAGAAAATGGTCATATACTCCAGGAACATGACAAATTCTTGTTGATAGCAAGTTTTATCCATTCTAAGCCAAATGGCAGGACATACTCAGGTCAATATGATTTGTAAAAGTATGAATACTTGTGGCAAAAATGGATTTTCCACATCGGTAGAAATTTGCCAGGCCGCCTGTGTGTTGTTTGTGGATCTAAGTGCACTGTGCCACCCACTTTGAGAACCACATGTTAACAGCTAGTTAAGTACACCGAGAAGAGCAGCCAGTGCTGCTGAGAGCCGGACAGGGAAGACCCAGATTAGGAAGACAAGAACTGCCTTCTAGAGCCCTTACAGGTAGGGGCAAAGAGCCCCCAGGACAGCACAGTATTTTGATGTTATTTCAATAACACAATTTTCATAACAATGTTAAACCATGTTTAATATACTCTGTTTAAGGAGATAGAGTAGACGAAGATTATTTCCATACAAAATGATTAAAATTTGTTTTAAGAGGTTTGCTTTTCCGTTGTCTAGAAAATCCACTTAGACGAGGCATCTCATTTTCCACCATGAGATAGCATGGCAACGTACAGCCTTGCTGTCATTTACGTGTGAAGATGACTCTGCTGCTGAAATCTTCTGTAAATAAATTAAATATCAATATTATTTATTTTTACTTGAAGAAATTAGCTGAGTTTTGAGGGGTTTTTTATCCTCTTGCAGCCATTATTTGTATAAATTATATATATATATATATATATATTTTTTTTTTTTCCATGCATATAACTCAGCACTTAATTTCCATTTTTAAGCAGTGGCTGGAAACCCAGAGCCCATTAGCCGTGAGATAATGAGATATTTAACCTTCCAATAAGTCCATAGGTACTCAAAGACATCAAAGTAATTCACCTGAAACTCCTGCATTGCTTTGTTCTTGCTCTGGGTAAACATTGTTGCTTTAAATTGCTGCATTAATGTGGGAGAAGTGCCCTTTTTTTATGTGCTCACTTGCATAGTGAAAGCCTTCCTTTGTGCGGTGGTTACCAGCATAGTACATGGTGTGATGATTGCAATTTAGGACAATGTGACCTTAAAAACTGGGACTAAGCCTGTTCCCACACATTCAGCAGTGACCAAGCTAGATTTTAAAGGTCACTGTAATTTATGGCACGTACCATAGCTGGCAGAACTCTATTACAGAGTAAAGTAGTAGACTGCCTTTTTTGCAATGGTCTATCATTTCTCCCTGTGCTGTTCCCTCTGAATTTTGGGAGCTGAGAAGGAGACCAGGCTGCCCCAGGCACCCCTGTCTTGGGGCAGAGTGAAGCAGAGCCCAGTGGCAGTGCCAGCTGTTGACTCCGCATGTCTCTGTTGGTGACACCCTCCTAGGAAGGGGCACTGGCTGGAGAAGGACGACAACCCCAGGTACATCCATCTGTGGAAACCTGGCAGTACCACCAAGAACACGTTTCAGATCCTTGTGGAGGGACTTAAAGAAAAGAGCCAAGTAACCCAGACTCTTAAAGTTTTTCTTTTTGGCTGATCTGTGTTACTTAAGTCTGTGAATCTCAAGTTTTCATGGATCTATCTAAGGCAGAAAGGAAAGAGGTATTTTACAAGTGTTATGCAGAATATTTGGTCAAGGGATTGTCAACAGCTTTTTACTCAGGTGGTCAAATGGTAAAATCACATGTATTTATTTCCTGTCGTTCATAACATATGAGAGTCACTAAATAGTCACTAAATCCCACCCAGAGCCAGTCAAACTTACTGAGGAGAGTGGCATGTGAATGTCATTTCCTGACAATTATACTTCTGAGCTAAGGAGAAAGAAACATGCTATCTATGGGGGTAGAGAAAGAATGAAGTGTTCATTGAGTAAGTTATATGCAATTTTTACAGAAAAGGAAAAAAATCTAATTTAAGTTACCAAATTCATCTGGAAGCCTAGACTTGTTTAATTTTTTAAAAATTTATTGTTAGCAATGACTGCAAATCAGTATTCTGACAGAACTGCAAATAAACATAACAGTGAATCGTTACCTTTATATGTACATAGATGGAATCTCTGGGTGTAATTCAAAATAATTTCACCTCATTTGCACACTTAAGTTTTGGACTGTCCCAACCTCTGCACGTAGCTCCAACCCCCGAACCTCCCAGATCCCCGGTGGAGCCCCTGGCAGAAGGCAGAGGCTGTGAAGGGGTCGAGTTAGGAGCTCCCCCCTTGGTTTGTTTCCAAAAGGAAGTTAGTGGAAACAGGTGGACCTAAGGGCTGTCTGCAGGTGTTAGAGCCCAAGTGTTAAGGAGAAGAGTGTTTCAAAGGCGGAGCAAGATGGTGAATGCAAAGTAATCAGCCAGGGCCTGGCACTTAGTAGCACTTTCATGATTGTTAGCTGCTACTATTAAAACCAATTTTAGGCATTTTCCAAAAAGACAAAATGATACCTAGTGCTATAAAAGTGATGTATGGTGCAGGTTCTCAAGGAAATCACCTATTTTTTATGTGGAAAATAAACACCCACCAACGAGAAACACAGGGTCATGAAATTCCAATGCTACATGGTGTCTTGCATGTAGGAAATAAGAATGAATTCAAAGGAGGGAGAGGTTCCTGGGGGTTGGGGTCAATAGTGTCAAAAATCCAGAAATAGCAAAAATTAAAATCAGATCAGTAAAATATTATTTAGTAAGAGTTTATTGTGCATATAACAACAGTTTACAAGCTGGGAGCTTTCAAACCCAAAGCTAATATGAAGCTATAGGGGAGCAAAATTTGCCACTCCAGATGTGTCTCTTTGGCTTGATTATTTTTAAGAACGAAACTCTAAAAGAAATTTTGACCTTCCTCCTAAGCGCCTAAAGAATTTAAGATAGAGGCCTGTTCCAGGAAGGCGCTATCACCATAGATAACTATAGTTTGATATGAACTAGGTGTGGTAGACGAGGAACTTATCGAGGCCCATTTGATCAAAGTCCTCCCCAGGTCCCGTTATCTCTGTATGGCATGGCAAACATTTGTTTACCAAACACCTGCTTTTCCATCTCCGTGTGAATTGCCTTCCTCACATTTGAAGTCCCAAACCACTACCCACAACATCCTCCTTTGTCTTTAGCTGAAGATGGTATTTAAGGTGGTAGCTTTGGCCATTTGGTGAGTTACTCAGTTTTCCTGGGTTTCTCCCATGTAAACATGTTATTAAACTTTGCTTTTCACCTGTTAATCTGTCTCCTGTCAATTTAATTCTTAGACTAGTCAGAAGAACCTAGAAGAGTAGAGGAAAATTTCTTCCTCCTCTACAAAGCTTAGAGGCGTGACATTACAGGACGTTACAGGATGGCTCATGAAGTG